AACGGGTTAAAATTATCCACAACCACCTCCGCTGACATTTAAAACCCTCACAGATTAGCAATGCTTATGAAAATCTATTTACCTCTAACTATAACTTGGCCGTCATTCAGCCAAAGTCCAGAGAGGCTCTTAGCACGAGATTCCCCGGTGCTGCAAAGGTTTCATCTAGAAATCGCGCAGAAAGGAAATCCCCTTTTCATGATCTAATGCAGTTTTCACTAAATGTCATCTCACCCCACAGCTTTCCAAGTTGTTTGTTTTTTAACCAGTTAAACTATTTGTAAAGTCATAACATGTTTATAAATATATATTTCAATATCTCTATATCTATAGATATATAGATATAACCACCCCATCAGTACTTTGTTGGGCCACGAGATAACTCCACGAGATGATGAAAGGTGATGCGAGGAATCTGACACTGCACTGTTGCCCTTCTGTTGTCTTGTACCAGTCTTGCCCCTCCCCCGTTCTGCCCTAACAATGACTAGTCGCTGACGGCCACAATTCGCACGTTCAGACCCAGATTTTCGGCTGACAGTCCGGTCTTTAAACACTTTAACAATGAGCTGCTCTTGAACATGTAACGAATTCTGCTGTTTTGCTGATACTCGCTCCATGGCTCCGAGCGCCAACAATCATCCCACGTTCAAAGGCTGTTACATCGCGTTGTTTTCCCGTATGTTCAGAAACAAAATCACTTCTACTGTCGTGGTAAATAACCTGCTTCCCTATTTATAATGGTCTGGCCCTCTAGCAACTTCAGCGCCAAATTATAGCTGATTTGCCTACAAAGGTCAGGTGGTCATAATAAACTGACCACTCAATGTATATACACACACACGGAGCACCAGAGCCAGGTCCCAGCTGCAACTGCTGCACCCCTGGTAGTTCGCATGAAAATGCCAGGTAACAGCATTGGTACTTGAAAAGTATCGGTGCATCCCTAGTAAATAATATTAAAAATAATACTATTTAATTAATTATAACATTTACATTAATTAAATTATGTAAAAAAATATATAATAATAATATTTTATGTTTAGAGATGTGTGAAAACAAAGTCTTCCACTACACACACAGCTGCTTTATCTCAACTACAGTTACTTAATAACAAACCAAAATTAACTAGCCCTCCGACATCCTGACATGTCACATGACCAAGAGGAAGTATGACCTTTCGAACATGTGTTTTACAAAAGGGTGTTGTGCATTGGTGTGACAGGAATGTCATTGAAGAATGTGACTTTTGTTACGGGATCTTGTGATTTCTCAGCCAGACACGGGGACATCACATATTCTTCAGAACAATAAATAACATTTCACGTAACTTGTGTGTAGATGGGACAAGCAAACTGGACAGTTTTGGCTTCTCGGAAATTTGGCATAAAATGGACACGTTTCCAGAGAAATGTTAGGAGACAATGGGGAAGGTTTTTTTTTATCCATTTATTTATTTTTTGGGTGACTTTGGGTTTTAAATGGCTCCCGAGAGTTACGGAAAATCCTTATATCTATCCCGAATTTGTCCTGGTGTCAAAAAACAACCCCTCCTCGTCTGGGAACATAACATTAGGTATTGAGGAACAGAGGAAGCTGCCTTGACCTTTCATACAGATAGGCCAAAAAAACAAAAAAGTTACATTTTGGCCAAGTTTTCTAAATTTTTTAATGGGGATGTGAAA